CGGGGTCCAAACTGCAGCGACGCACTGTGGCTGCCTCCACGGGACACCACAGGCCTGGCAGGCAGTGGGAACAGAAAGAACACTGAGCTTTGGGAGTTTGGGGGCTTCCAGCCAACAAGAGTCAGTGAGCTTGTCTGGGAACTCCCGGCTCTGGCTGCCTCCTCACCAGCAGGCCTGGAGGGACACTGGCGGGAGAAAGTGGACTTCCCCAGACAGAAATGTGGCACCGGGCGCCAGGCTCCAGGCCCAGGCTCCGTGCACTTAGAGATGCCCCAAGGTCACCGCACTCACTTGACCAGGTTGCCTCAGCTGTAAACTCCACCCTCATTGCCACCCACCCCCCTCAATTTAGGTCCAGTCTTCTGTGATCTGGCAACTTTGGTCCACAGACAGGGTGATGCTGTGTGCTGCATGCTGGCCATAGGGGTCCCCAGACAGCAACCTCCTGTGGAATGAAGTTAAGCAGATGAGTGGGTTCCGTCTGTCCAGAATCTGGGAGTTGGACCCAGGAGGGGTGCACTCTGCAGAGACACCCCTCTTCCTGAGAGGCAGGAGGACACCTGTGACTAGGCTGGGCTGTGGACACACAATGCTGTCAGATTTTTGTGGCCTCCTGCATTTTCTGGAACAATCCAGCACGAGTGTGGTTTCCTCTTCCTTGGAATGGTGAAAAAGCTCAGTCTGGGGGTGTTTGGTAGACACTTCTGGGACTTGGGAGGGTCTGTCCATGCATAGGAAAAGAAAGAGGTTTTCTAAGCGTGGAATGCTGGCTTCCATGGTTCTTGGAGGGAAGAAGAGATGTGAAAATAAAATGCCATAGAGGGACGTTTCCCCCAAGGCCCTCATCCAGAGAGGGCCATGCCCCTCCTGCCTGGAAGCTCCAGCTCCCCGCTGGATACACTCAGAGCCAGCCCTGCCCTGCCCGCCCAGGACCAAAACCTTCTTTTAGATGTTTTTCTGTTGTGACTTCGGCTCTTCTTCTGACGCTGCAGAACCGGCTTCCCTCAGTTGTCCCATCACCTCGAACTGCTTGTTAACAAGGCCTTCGGAGAAAAAGCCGCAGCCAACTGGATGAATAAAGTGCTTTTAAAGGAGGGAGGGAGGGGGCCATCACACCCCCAGCTCAGGGAAAGCTGAAAGGCAGACACAGCCTGACCTCAGGGGCCTGCTGAGACCGGCCGGGGCTGCCAGCTTCTCTGGATCCTGCAGCGGGTTGCTGCTCAGCGCCAAGTGTGATGTGGACACTGGCCTGCTGGACGGAGACAGAAATTCATTTTCCATCTGTCAAGCTGCCTGACCCAGAGCCCGTAATGATTTTCTGTCAGGCGGGGGCCCAGCTGGATTTGAACCAGTGACCCAGAGGTAAAAGGCCTCGATGTCGGGCTCCCCCTGCACTAAGGGCCTGCCTGCACCCCGTGACACCTGACCCAGTGCTCTCTTGCATCTGCCCTTGCATTCTCCACGGCTAGTTGAGTTGAGTTTCGATTGGAGCCTAACTTAGCATGTGGGGCTGGCTGGGCAGTGTCCTGGAGGGCAGGTGGGGAGTGAGTCAGGGCCTTCCAGAATGGGGGAGGGGAGCAATTGAAGGGCACAGAGGCGGGGCCTGCTTGATTAGCTTGGGGCCCAAAGCCATGTGTTGCTCACAAGCCGGGTGCCTGTCCTTGACTTCAGGACCTTTGCACAGGTCAGGGAGTTGGCTCCCACATGAAGGCTGCTGCTGGGCAGGCAGGGGTATTGAGGTGTAGATTCTCTGAGTCGCAACCACTCTGGGTTCAAAATTGTCATCATTGTTTTTACTGATTGTTTTCATTACAAAAAATTCTAAGTTTGATTAATATGATGATTCCCATTCACCCAGTGATAATCACGAGTCACTGGCCAGTCTCCAAAAATAGTATTTCATAATTTGAAGATGTCTGTCCCTCAGGGTCAGGATTGCAACCCAGAGAGCCTGAAGGGCTATCCCATTATTCAATAAATACTTATTGAGGTTTCTCTTGTCTGACAAGTGTTCTGCTAGTTACCAGGGCTACAGAGATAAAACAGGAACCCCGATGAAAGAATGATTCATTTGGTGAGGGAGAGACATGTGGATCATTTTGCAAAGCCTGGTAAGTCATAGTATAGCAAGTGGAGACCTTGAATGGACGATTAAAAACAAGAACTGTGTCTTATGGGTGTGTGTGTGTGTAACAGTGAATGGATTGGGAGTGAGGGTTGCAGCCATGGAGGGGCTGCAGCCATGGAAGGAAGGTCGAGTATAGACCTGGGAGGGGACCAGGCTTAGCTACATACAAGCTCTGACCCCTGGCACTGAGTGTCCTGGAGCCTCCACTTTCCACTCTGTGAAGTGGGAATGATCACATCCATGTAAAAAATCCTCATGGGGACCAAATGGGGTACTCCATGTGTAGCATTTATTTATTTAGCAGAGAGCCCAGCATGTGACCAGCGAGACAGCCTAGGTAGAAGATTGCCAGCCTGCAGGATGAGCTGTCTGGACCACCTCCTGGCCTGGCGAGTCCCTTGGGTGGCCACACTCGCCAGGAGTCTCCTTGATGAGACGAAGCACCAGGTCCCGACCACTGATTAGTTCAGGTCTCCTGGAGTGTACCATCTCATGTGCTCTTGCGTGGCCCGGCCCAGATGCCCTGCCTGCTCTCCTCCCTGCCTCCTGGAGCGGCCCTTTGTCTCCCCCTTACCCCTTCCGGAGAGCCAAGTTCTATTCTCCTTTTCCAAACTGGCTCCTCATGTGTGAGTCTCTCTAATAAAGCCTTGCCTGGCAAAACCGTCTAGTGCTCTCTCTTGAATTCTTTCCCTAGAGGGCAAAGGACCCACTCTTCGGGCTTGAGGCCTTATAACATCAGCTAATGCTTCCTGGATCAGAGAAAGGTGTTCCCGGAGCAGAAAAAACACTAGAAAAGTAATTTTAAGTGAGTGGCAGTGGGATGAAGAAGAAGGTGAAGATTACAGAGAGCTTTCACAGTTCGAATCAAGAGAATTTGGTGACTGTGAATGTGAAAAGCGAGGGGCAGGGGAGGAAGCCAGTCTGGCGGCTCTCATGACATGAGAAGCTGGTATGGGGCGCGCCGAGTATGGGGAAAGAGGTTACCGTCTTCTCCTTCTTGCGGTGGGTTAGAGACACCTTGAGCATCCAGGTGGGAGGCTCCTAAGAATTGTAAACAAGAGCTCAGGTCTACGATAGTTTTCTGGTTTACAGAAGATGGCGGATGCTGGGCCCAAAGGGGCTCCAAAGCCGGGCGTCGTGGAAACATCAACATTAAAGGGGTGAGTAGGATAGGGGGCAGTGGAGACAGGCTCTCCAGGGCTATGGTGGCTCTCCACGCGGGGGTGCCAGGGATACAGTTAGGTCTCGGGGCCAATGAGCCATGTTTCCCCCTAACCTGAATGAGCTTAGTATCTTGTCACATTTGAGAAACCGTCCAATAGCAAAATAGGATTAGTTGGTTTGTTCAAGAGAATAAACTCTTAGAAGGTTGTGTGTGGTCTCTATGCAAACCAGCGATGGCCATGGTGTCAATAGTTTGCATCCAGTCTTCACGGTATCAGAACTGTCAGGGAAATCCTCTATTTCTTGTGTATAAAAAGTATTCACTAATTCAGATCAACCCAACAGACTTTAGCCTGACTTCCTAGGGTTGGCGGCTCAGTGACAACACACATGGAGCAGATTGTAGGCCTCAGCATACAGCCTCGCTGTGGAGAGGTGTTATTTATGCAACCATGAAGCAACACACCACCCCGGTAGCACAACTCAGCTTCGTGGTTTTACTCAGAATGGGAATTGTCATCAATAAGCAGTCAGTTTCCTGGGAAATTAGTGATGTCTACGTAGGGAAGAGTTCTTTCATAATTCAGAAGCTCCATGTCCTACCTAATAAGAACATGATTGGGAAGGTCCATGCAGAATTTTCTGGCCACGAACCTGAGCCAGATACTCTGCCGGGCAAAAGGAAAACAGGAATGTGGCCCATATTGGAGGAGAAAGAAAGGCAAAGGTGTCAGAGGACTGGCGGAGGAGTCTCCAGGGGTGGCGGCAGGAGGCAGCCCAGGCTGGCAGGGGAAGCAGGAGCCTGTGGAGGCTGCCATTTCAGTCAGCCTTCCAGGAAGAAAGGATTTCTAAGCCAGGACAACGAAACACCAAGGTATGGATCACAGAGTGTGGAATTCTACACGAGGTGACGTGCTCTTAGGGAAATACTGGGTTTGGAAAAAGCACGCTGGGGGTTCGTCTTTCCTACTCAATGAAAGTACAAGGGCACCTGAAATTCAGATCCCTTAAATCTTCCTCTTTGATTGGGTCCTCAGCCCTGATGCAGAGGAAATAAATCTCAGCAAACACACCAGGGCTGCTCTGGATGTTGACATGATGGCTCGGTGGAGGTATGGGCATGGCTAAGTGGGGTGATTCTGGAACCCACAAATGTTACATCACAAATCAGAGGTACAGGAGTGACTCAAAAGAAAACTACAGCTATGTGGGAGGTATTATGAGGTCACCTGAAATCAGGTTAAATATCAGCCACAGGTGCACTGGTGGTTTCTGAAACATCTCTTTGTTTAATCATAGAATTATTTTCATCTTCCATTCATCATAAATAATTAACTTCATTACTTCATCAATCCCTTTGAAAAAATTTGGTATTTAGCATAAACAAACACTGAACATTAGCCAGAGTGTATTTGTTTTAAACACAAGAGGGAAGAATTAAAAAAAAAAACCCTCAAAAAATGTAAAACTTAAAAGGGAACAGACGAGATTAACAATGTCACCCATTTTAAAAAAAATCAAATTTCATGACAAGTGTTTTTTAAAAAATCCAGATGGAAAAACGAGTAAACATAATCTAACATATTTCTTTCATAAATACATTTAGGCCTCACAGATGCATAAAACAAATGGCTTGATGGTATAAAAACAAAATAAAATATTTTAAGATATGAATAATTAAATCCCAATAAACATGAATTAAAAATAAATTGTAATTTTATTTTTTCTTCTTTATGGAAAAATATGCCACAGCATTTGTGTAAAAAAAGAAATAGGCACAAACATATCACTAAAGCCACCAAAATTCACTATGCAAAGACTATTTGAAAACAAAACACCTTTTTTAAAGCAAAATATAAAATGTTACAGCATTTTCTGTTAAATTTTATCCCATAATCACACCTACTGTAGGTGTTAGACAATAGAGGTAGATAAGTTGGGAGGAAAAAAAATCAGTTGCTAATGCTAGGAAGAAAGGTTTAGGACAGCTCAGACAGGCAATTCCATTTCCTAAGAAGTTCAACGAAAGCTGTAAGACAAAACATGGAAACTTTTTGGGTTCCATTTGAGAGTATCAAAAGTACAAAGCAGAATTGCTGTCGTTTCCGACACAGTGAAATTCTTGACAACAGAAATTCTCAGCAAACAATTTGCAGGGTTTGGCACAAGCCGCACCTTCTCATGGAGGATAACTCTTCTGGAACTTGGGAGGTTCAGTCACATTGAAATGAAACAGAAATGACACAGATGAGACCTGGTAGAAACAGGAATGTCCAGGTACAGTACTGAGCAACTTGGTACGTTTCTAAGGAATGATTTTTGTTGTTATTGTGGACAAAACCACAACAAAACCGCTGCTGAGAAGTGGGTGCATTTCAGCGTGACCCGGGGAGCCAATATTCCCCCAGACCTGGAAAGAGAGGATGCAGGAAACAGAGAACAGGGTTCCCTTAGTTCTAGATATTGCTTTATTCTCTATTGGGTCCAGGGAACACTTGTCCAGTCACAGTAGAGGCAAACATCATACACACCTTTGACAGATGATGCCAAATTGGGAAATAATTTTACTTGATCTTTTGTTTAATGGATGGTTTTATATTTCCTGTGTCCACTTCTGTCCTCCAGGGTGGAAAGAGTATGTACATGTAACATCGCTGGGTTCATGATTTTCCATGTTCATTTATTCATAAGAGCAAAGGGATTGATATTTTTAATAGTTGCAAACACTGGTCAAGTCCGCCGAGGAAATCCTCATGAACAACGGTTCTCAAATGCCCTGTGTGCCTAATCCCGGATGTAACAGTCTGCTCCGGCCAGCAGGAATGACCTGTGGCCAGCACACCTGTGTAACAGGTAACACACTGGGTCTCAGTGCTGGAATGTGAATATAATCCATGTTGAACTGTTGCAGCTTTTAAGCTGATTGTAACATTTTTGTGTCTTGCGTTTGGCTGTCGTCATGAGTTTGCATGTTGGCAAACAGGTAAGAAAGGAATTAGGCCAGAAAAAGGAAAAACCTATGAAATATAATTTTAAAAATCCTGACAATCCAACCCTCTCGTTTGTGTCTCCAAACTTCACTTATTTATTCCAAACTCAAATATCAGGCCCTTCTTTGGAGCAGTTTATAATAAATTTCAAGCCGTGATCTCTTAGAATAGGATTGTGGCGTTTCTATGTGGAATTAGTGAAAGGAATGTCTAAAAATATGATATCAAGAAAGCAGACCACTTATGCTTCTCAGCATCTCTAACTCTGACCCCTGCCGAGTTGATGAAGAAGAGGCGTGTCACAGTCGTAGGAAAAAAAAAAAAAGAATCACACAGTTAATCAAAGCATTTGTGAGTAAGACTTTGGAAATTTTCACTGTCGCTGGGAGGGCGTTTTCCTGATGGCCTGGCCTCATTTCCAAGGTACAGTAACTACTGTAGAGTTGCATCGCACGGAAGAGGGGAGGAGACAGGGTGTCTGCTTTTGTTGCTTAGGATGACTGTCTAGCAAAAAAAAGAAAATGACACGACTCCAGAATACTGTCCCGCCCCCTAGCAGTAAGCAACAAAGTAGGTTTTGGAAATAATGCTTTTGTCAAATACATTTTAAGGCACTTAAACAGTTATATCTTATTTTTGTGTAAAAAAATAAAATATGCATCGAAGCAACATTCACAAGTACAAGTCTTCAGAGTGTGTGTATGTACAGCCTGTACATATGTACACCCGGCGTGAGCGCCTCCTTCCTCACACCGTCGGCCTCGTCAGCTTCACTCCCTGTGAGGAAGGAAAAGATGCTTTTCAGAGTTGGGCAATATCGGGGCAAAATGAATGCTCAGTGAAACTAGATCACTGGCGCTGCTCGGAGGAGGAAGTCCATCCAGACAGCACACAGCCAGGGATCCTGGCCACCGGGGACAAATGGACCCGCCCGCCCAGCTCACTGGCCAGCGACTGGTCACCTCCCTGGGGGCCTGGCAACTGAGCCAGTGCCCCCATACTAGGTGGGGGGTGCCTGCAAAGCAGAGGAGATGAGGATACCCTTAGGATTGATACCTGATACTTATTTTGGGGGTCAAATGGGACACATAGATACTCCAGAGCCTTCTGGATTATTCTAAGTTAGCCAGTGGTCCTCCGGTTTCTGTGTAAAGGGGAGATGAACAGCGTTGTGGAATTTAGTCTCCCTTTTGGAAATGCTTCTGCTAGTGCGTAGAATAAATCTTAGCATGTCTAAACATTTAGAGGAAAATTTTACTTTGATGAATCTGCTGCTCACTATGACTGTATATAACACGGATGGAGAAGTAGGATTTTCAAATCCTTTTCTTCTTTGTCAACATTCAGCCGTGTAAATTCTGTACAGCCGTACACGATAGTAAAGGATGAACAACGAAAGAAAGGAAGGCAGTAAGATGCTCGCTCCTCTGCCGGCTCTCCGTGGGGGGAGCGGAGGAAAGTGCATCTCACCTTCTGCCTCGACACCATCCAGGACTTGATTGTCGGCACCAGCACGCTCCCCAGCAGGATCTGGACCGGGTGATAGATGAGCAGGGGCACGGAGATCAGCGACAGGTGCTCGTGGCCTGCAAACACTATCTTCAGCATTGGGATTCCTGAGGAACAAGAAGACAGAATGCTGAGACATGCACCGGGTCTGCCATCAAATCAGGGACCCGCCCCGTTAACACTGGACTCCGACTAGGTCACGGCCTGTTTCCCCCACGTGTATTCACAGCACTGAAAATGGAGGGTCTTGCGGGAGTCACCAAATCTTCCCTCTTTCTTTCATTACCTCACACTCAAAACTCTAATGAGGACAGATTCACACTGAAAAGGAGGTCCGTGATTTGAGGAAGCCACTACCTCTTGCAGAGCAGCAGTCCCTCTAGGGAGAGGAGAGGAGACAGTGTGGGACACAGTTGCTTGACGAATGATGAAAAAGACAAGCCAGGCAAAGGTTAAACATGGACCTTTTCTTGCTTAGGATGAAGCTGTCTGCTGGTCTGGAGGGAGGCCTGTCAGGCACCACTTCACAGTCCCAAAGTTCGCTTTTGAGAGTCGAAAGGATAGGGTGAGATGATGTGGAGCACACACTGCTCCACGTAGGAGGGTACTTTAGCCAAGTGAGCATTAATGAAGGCATTGCATGTTCTCCCTTGGCCCAGGGTGTCCAAGTGCTTTTCCCAGTACTGGGTATGGCAGGTGAACTCTAAGATCAGTGCTGAATGTTTAACCCCAGAATGAAGGTCTTAAAGGAACTCAGGTAAATGAATGCTGAATAATACCCACCATTCTGTTACACAGCAGGCAAAGTGCACGCGCTTTGTAGGCAGCTGTCTACAGTGGGTCCCTACGAAGCGTCTATAATAGAAGACATGCTTGACGTTTGATGATTACAACCAGTTGTGTTAATATGGCCCAGCTGCCGGGGTTGCTGTGCACAGAAGACAGTTTTTCCAACAGAATCTCTTGCATAGCTTCGCTTTCTTGTTCCTCTGAGAACAGAGTCTGATTCAGGAGAACAGTCTCCTAAACACGCACGATGATGGCACATAGTAACTCGCTATTCTAACCCTGTGGTTTTTCCACCAAACCTTTATGCCAAAGTGTATGTCCTGGCTGCTTTCTTCATTATAGCCTCACGATTCATTGCCATAAACTGAAAACGTTCGGCTCCTCCCACACATTGCTTCCCTCTACACGCTTAGACTTTTGCAGTTTCCGTCTTCTTGCTAATACAAAAAGCAAAAGTGCTTGCTTTTAAAAAAAATACCACGCTTTTTTGAATGCTGAGTAAAGATAAACACATGCAATTTGCAGCAACATGGATGGCGCTGGAAGGGATCATGCTCAGCGAAATAAGCCAAAAAGAAAAAGAAAAATACCAGATGGTCTCACTCATAGCAGGAATCTAGAAAACCTAAATAAGGGACCAGGAAAATGAGTAACTATAAGAAAGTGAAAATCAAAATCAACAAAAAACTATGAACCAGAGACACTTTTTGGGGGTGGGGGGCGGGAGGGGAGGGATTGGGGTCAGAATTGGGGGGTTGCAGTTGTATGGGGAATATAAAAATAAAATTTATTATTTAAAAATAAATAAATAAATAAAAATAAAATAATAAAAATTCACAAAAAAAAAAAAACAAATGGTATTGGGAAAACTGTACACCTATGTGCAGAAAAATTAAAATAGGCAACTCACACCACACACAAAAATTAACTCAAAGTGGATTAAAGACTTGCATGTAAGGCCAGAAACTGTACAATATATATTTTTTAAAGGCAAACATTTCACAACATTGACTTCAGAGATGTCTTTTGGGACTCAACTCCAATGACAAGGAAAACAAAAGCAAAAATAAACAGGTAACATGGAACTAAAAAGCTTCTAGATGGAGAAATAAACTATCATTAAAACAAAAAGACACCCACTGAATGGGAAAAAATATTTATACATCATAGATCTGACAAGAGGCTAATAATCAAGATCTACAAAGATCACATAAAACTCAACAAAAGAAAAAAGAGCCGAGCCCAAGTAAAAAATGGGCAGAATGCCCAAAAATAGATGACTGGATCAAGAAGATGTGGTCTATATACACCATGGAATATTACTCAGCATTCAAAAAAGATAAACACATGCAATTTGCAGCAACATGGATGGCGCTGGAAGGGATCATGCTCAGCGAAATAAGCCAGAAAGAAAAAGAAAAATACCGGATGGTCTCACTCATAGCAGGAATCTAGAAAACTTAAATAAGGGACCAGGAAAATGAATATCTATAAGAAAGTGAAAATCATAATCAACAAACTATGAACCAGAGACACTTTATGAGGGGAGGGGGGTGGGGGGGAGGGATTGGGGTCAAAATAAAGGGGTTGCAATTGCTTGGGGAATATAAAAATAAAAAAAATTAAAATTAAAAAAAAATACAGTATATTTTTGGCAGAGAAACTAATCATCATTTAAAAATCAAAGTTTTTGTCACTCAATCAAACAAAATTCATATAAGCTTGTATGTTGAGATTGGTGAAATAAATGTGAAATATGACATAAAAAAAGAATAGAAAACTAAAAAAAAAATAATAAAAAATAAATCTTTTTTTAAAAAAGCTTTTTCTGCCTGTACTCTCATCCCATCCCACTCACCTCGCTGAGGTGGGACCCCACCTGTGCACCCTACCACAAAAAAAAAAAAAAAAAAAAAAAAAAAATACCACGCTTAATCCATTTAGAGTTGAAAAGCAGCGTCTGGTACTGAGTCCTGGAAAGCTGTGACCGTGAGAAAATAAGCAGGCCCGGACCTGCCCCTAGTGTTTCTAGGAGAGTACTTGGCCCAGAGGAACTAGAAGGAGCTAGGGGGTGACGGGAAGGGACCTAGAGCAGAGCCCAGAGGGAGCAAACACAGAAATATGATGTTTGTCCCTAAAAAATGATCAGGGCAGGGGTTTCAGACCCCAAATCAAGGCCCATGGTGCCGGGCTGCATCCCTGGGATTCTCCTGCTGAGGCTGTGGTGCTGTCGGTCTTCACGGGCCTACGTGGACTCTGCGGGGAGCCACAGGGCATCACGGGGGCTGTGGCTACACTAAATGAGCAAAAAATTCTATGGCAAGACACGTGAGGTGTCTTAATGTAAACGACAGAAAGTCACTGGACTGCGACGGGTCCGGCAGGCAGAGAGAAACTGCGATGAGGCTACAGTGCGTCCTCGGGCTGCCGTGTCTAGGGGAGCCCAAGGGAGAGCGAATGAACCTCACAGTAGCCCGGGGGTGCTGTCACCCTGTCCACATGGCACTGATGAGGCAATGGAAACAGCTCGAGGTCAGGAAACTTGTCCTGGTGGCGGAGTCTGGGTGGAGACACGGCAGCTTGGCTTCGGGGTCTCCATGTCAGGCTGGGTCTGACCGCTGAGGTCTTCGGCTCTAGATGCGTGACGTGGAGGGGGTTCTGGTTGGCAAGAGTTCCCTGGTGAAGTCCTTTGGGAGCTTCTTCCCTGGGCCTCTCCCAGAAGCACCCCCAGAGGCAGTGACCCTTGTCAACCCCCTGTGGCCCACACAGGATGGCCCTGAGAGCTCAGATGGTAAGAGGCGAAGCAGCTACTAGGAACACCCCACAGAAGTGTTCCTAGGACTCTGCGGGGAGCCACAGGGTGTCACGGGGGCTGTGGCTACACTAAGCACACAGTGGAGGGGCGCCGCCTTCTTTGGGCCCTGATACCAAGGTGCCCGCAGGCCTCTTCCGGCCCTGGGCCGGTGCTTCAGCACTTACACCTCATCCTACTTATTTGTTTTATTTTCCTACTCTTTCATGACAACCGCATTACACTGGACGTCCTCTCTTACTCTCGGCTGGAAACTGAAAGACTAACTTTCCAGATGGACCTTATGTGCGTGTTCTATTACATCAGAGGATAAGCAAACACGATGCAAGCACTGCCTAGTTTACAAACACAGCTTTGCAAAGAACCTGTCCTCAGGAATGGCCACGAGCTGTCCCCACGCTGGCTGAGGAAGAGCAAAGATCATTTCGAAAGAATGTGGATTCTGAAAAAATAGGCCTTGGGGTACATGTTGTCTTCAAACACACCCTCTGCATTCTGTTTCATGATGAGGTTGGGACCCTGCAAACATCACTTCTCGTCAGCAGCTCCTGGGCAGCTCTGCTGATGCAGGGTTGGGGGGCACTAGAGGAAGGCTGGACAGGGAGAGGAGCTTGGGGTTCTTGCAGCAAACACCCTCTAGGGGCGGCAGAAGGTGGCTCCAGCCTGTTGCTAAAGCTCTGAGGCCCCACTTCCAACTTCCTCCCTCTGTTCCCCCAACTCTGGCCACTTCCTGTGGTGATTCCTCTTGTTTCCCTTCACTGTCCCTCCTTCAGTTCCTGAACACTCTAGTCCTCTATATTATAGGTGAAAAAGAGAAGGATCCAAGAAGGCTTTGAGCTTCTGTAGACACCTGTCCCATTGAACAGGGACTTCTCACCACGCCATGTGTCTGCGATGCCTTTTTGTTCATCCTTCACTACATTCCCATCACACCACCCCGAGCAACCAATGCTAAAAATATGACTGACAATAACACACAAAAGGGGCCTCCCCGGTGGAGCAGCGGTTGAGCGCTGGGTTGCGAAGCTGCCCGCAGCCTCTGCAGCGCCGGTTTGATCCCCGGCTGCTCCCCGGCCACGGGAGGAGGGTCCCGCATGGTGCGCAGACCTCTCCTGCCGCCCGCTGCTCCCCTCAGCAGTGTACTTCGGTCCTTCTGCCTGCTCTGCTCCCCGCTCTGGCTCTGGTGAATTCTCTCACCCTCCAGCGCTTCTGACTATACCCAGTGCTTGCATAAATAAATAAACAAATAAATAAATAAATAAATAAATAAATAAATAAATAAACAAACAGACAAACAGACAAATAAATAAATAAAAACATACACACGAGAGGAGAAAACTGAGCTTGCAGAGACCCCAAGTCCCTTTCCCGTGTCCCTGCACGTCCCCCTCACGTGATGCACTTGTGGCACACCTGCACTTGGAAGGGAGGGGACCACGGAGGAGTCCTGGGTTACTATGTTACATGTTATTTGTTTTCAGAACCTTTGTTCTCAGTACTGAATTC